TAGGAGTAGCAGATGGGAGTTTTTTTTTTACTTTCTTTCCTTTTTTCTATTTCCCCCGCCTCTCTTTTCGGGGGCACTTTGCCAGCTCTCCGTCCTGTCCACGGTTTCTTGCGCCTGCCGTTCCTGTGTTGAGGTCTACCGTGACGCGTGGCCTGGTGGTGAGAGGCCAAGCGAGTGTTAACAGGTGACGGAGCAAAAAAAAAAAAAAGAATTAAAAAAAGGACTTTTTTTTTCTTCTTCTTCTTTCTTGTTTCCATCGGGGTGTGTGCCCCCCGTCAAAATCAACCCCTCTACACAAACACGCCTTCTGATAAGCTCAGCAGAATTTTCGTCATAAATTTTCATTTGCGACCTCCTGTGAGGAAATCACAACTGCTGCTGTAATTGAATATTTCTTCCTGGCCCTTAAAAACCACTGGAATATCGTCTCTGCTCTTTGCCTGGGTTTTCTGCGCCTAACAACCCTCCTTGCATGGGGCCGGGTTAGAACAAAGACGGCCGAGGCGCCGCGAAAAGAAGAAAAGAAAAGCAATAGGCATGCAAGCCTCTAGTCGACGCCGCAGCCGCGACGAGGAGAATGGCGAAGAATTTGACAGGCAGAAGGATCGCAAGCAGAGAAGGCGAAGCGAGCGCCAAGCGAGGAAGGAGGCACGCATTGCGGCCCATGAAAAATGGGTAGAGCGGCGGCGTAGTATGAAGAAAAAGGCTCACGAGGAACGAGGAGGAAAGCAACTTGGCCTTAAAGTAACACAAAGAAAGCGGTTGCTATCAACAAACGCATCCGCGGCTCCACCCCATGCGCTTAAGGCGGTGGCAAGGGGCATGAAGGCAACTAGCGACCCTAACAAAACCATCGATCCTCTGGATGGTGGAGAAACTTGCTCATCCCCCGACGCCGTTGTCTCTCAAACGGCTCCCGTACAGCTGTACGAGAAGAAGCAGCCGCAAGTGGGTTTCGTTGGTGCGACATCGTCAACAAGAGCGACAGATATGTCTACGGCTATTATTAGTGATAGTGCTATGGAACTCACTTCGGCGAAATATATTCCGCCGACGCTCCGACGTCAGCTGACACAGGAAACAAACTCTAGCTTAGATGAACGCACACGACGCATCGTCAACAAACTCACTGTGCGCAATGTGGCAGAGCTGACAAGGGAGACTTCAGAGCTCTTTGGTGGGGCTGTTGAGGGAGCCACGCGAGCGTCGGTGTTACGCAGCCTTTCACAGCACATTAACCGCATGTGCATGTTGGACACAGGCCCCTTGACGCCGATCGTGAGTCTACCGTTTGCGGGGCTTATTCGTGGGCTTCAGTTGTTACATGGCAATGTGGTGGGATCCGAGTTGATAGAGAGTCTCTGTTTGGCACTCCAGGAACACCTGGACGACAAGAGCGAGATAAGTGCGTCCAACGGTGCGATGGTGCTTGCACATCTTTATCTTTTGAATGCGGTGGATGCATTGCTTGTGTCCAGCTTCCTGCGCTCTGCACTGCGACTTGGAAGTCACGGGAACATCTGTGCTGTGGCTTGCGCACTGACGCTTCTTCGTGCGTGTGGTGAGAAACTACTAAAGGAGGCACCTGGGCAAATGGAACAAGCACTGACAGATGCAAAGTCCTACAAGAGTCAAGGGCAGTCTAACGTCCGGCACAGCACCCTTCTCAGTTACGTTGCGGACATTCTGATGGGACACACACGCAGTGCCAAGCGCAGCGTAAATGAGGAAGAGGTTCCTGTTGAGTCGTTGCTTAGAGATATCTCTGCTTTGTTGCCTGGAAGTGGAACCTCCGGTAACAAGCGTGTGCTGCATCGCATCATGAGTACAACGAGCGTGTTAACGGGACTCACCTGGGCGCGGATGTTGCGCAGTGACAAGCCCCCTCGCTGGTTTACCACTGCTGCCTGGGATGGCATCGATGACTGTGAAAATTCCAACGTGTTGCCCGAGGCCAACGCAGAGGCCCTTTCTTCCGTCGCTTCTGGGGGTGAAATCACGGATAGCGAGGAGGATGCAGCGGAGCTGAAAGCCGAGCATATTCGACAACTCCGCCAGCAAGAGAAAGCGATATCAGGGCAGCGTCTCAACACTGAAAACAAGCGTGAGGTGTTTCAAGTTATTGTCAATGCCTCGGATGATTTAGAAGGCTTTACGCTGCTTATGCATCGTGACCCTTCGTTTAGCCGCCTGCATGACACACTGTCTGTGCTGCTGCAATGCGCCTATCAAGAGAAGGTTTATAACTCTTATTATGCACAAGTTATTCAACGTTTTTGCAGTGCGAAGGAATCGTGCAAAAGTACACTTCAGTTCGCCTTATGGGATATGTTTAAGGCGATTCGCGTGGAGTCGGTCGATATCACGGGATACGTTAATCTTTCCTGCCTACTCGCCCATCTGATTGAGGTGGGTGTATTTACACTGGCCGTCTTGCGAGGGCTGGACTTGGACAGCACAAACCGCACCATTGGGTTATTTACTCGCGTTCTTCTTCTTCGCCTGATTCTACAGTTGCCTCCCGCAAGGCTGGCGGAGGTATTTTTCGGCGGTGATGGGTTTCGTGCACACGACGTGAAGATTGACACTAGTGTCTTACGATCCAACCTGGCCAAGATTTTGGAGCGCTACTTTGTCGACGAGCGGGAGTCCGGAAAATGGATCCCGCATTTCTACGACGTGGTCGCCAGAGGCACTTCCTTCGACGTGCAGCGACGAGACCGTCACGAGTTTAGCGGCAGTGGCGAAAGGGCGGTGAGTGAGGAGGCGCAGCTTCAGTTGTTTATAAAGCGGATTCAGGTTGTGTGTAAGGCGTTGAAGACTGGCATATCATGAGGCTTGGAGGTGATTCTAAGAAACATGAAGAGTAACACGACGGTTAGGCCGTTTGTGACAGTAATACTAATAACAGCGAGAGCGAGACGGATATAAAGAGAGGGAGGGGGATGCAGTGGACTGGGATTTTGTTGATTTTTCAATCTCTTCTTTTTCTTTTCTTCCTTTCCCCTCCATTTTTCACTCTTCTCACATACATTTGATACATGACGTGCCTGCAGGGTGCGTTAATGGCATCTGTGTCGGTGGCTGTGTTGTGTGTCTCCGTGTGCATCTCTGGGTATGCTTCGCTTCATGTTTTTTTTTAATTTGTTGCCGCTGTTTACCTCACAAACGGCAGCTGTGAGAGGCTGCCGCTGATATTGCTGCCCGCAGTGGTGGTACTGTGCGTCTGTGTGTGTGTGTGTTTTTTTGCCTTGTCGTAGGGGAGGCGCAAAGGAAAACGTGAGGCGCAGGGTGAGATAGGAAGCTTGCATGCCACTTGCCAAACAGAAGGGATCACTTCCACGTGCCTTTGCCGAGTTGAATGCCCACTTTTTGCCATCCCGAGGTGACATTCTCACGAGCGCGACGATCACGGTAGAATTTGCCCCCTTGAGCTCGCCAGCCCCCCCGGATGGCGCAACAGCAGAAGCGGGCGACACAGGCAACTGCGACACCGCTCTACTGCTGACGTTGTCGCATCTGCACGAAATTGGCGAGGCTCGTGTGTGGCTCGAACGGAAGGGCGAAGCCAGCGGCGAGGGTGTGGGAGAGTGGCGTCAGCTTCAGCTGAGTACCTCGACTTTGTATGAAGCAAAGCGACGTGTTGTGCGCTCTGTGGACGGGAAGAAACCAGCTGCTTCGTCGTCGGCGCTCGCTTCCGTTGAACTTACAAATCCAGTTGCTCTCGAGCCCAAAATAACCCGTGTGGGGGAGGAAGAAGAAAACAAGCAGGGGAAAGAGGACGACGAGGGGGATGACGGAGTTCTTGAGCTCGTGTTTGGGTCTAGCGACGACGAGAACAACAACACTCCTGGTAATGGTGACGATAATGACGCCGGTAGTGGTGAGGCCAGCAAACATCCCAAGGAGAACGCAGAAGCGGGGGACATTTACGCTGTGCCGTCGGGGGAAGGCGGCGAAGGAAGCAACTACGATGAGGATGACAACACAGGCACACAGTTTGTGCTTAGACTATGGCCCTCTGCTGCCAGTGGAGCGCGGGCGACCGATGAAGGCGGATGGTTCACATCGCGCTGTTGCATTGAGGTTAGGCTGCTGCCTCCACCACGGCTGGCGAGCCTCTCTTATCCTCGTTTGACCGTGTCCTCACTTGTGGGGAAAACGCACCCGGAGCAGCAAGGGGTGCGTGGCTTCGATAACGAAAGCTATCTGTTGTTAATGGGGCAGCGTTTTTACGATTACTTTATTTGTCCTCGCGTGGCGTACGCGGAGGGTGGACCTGATGCCGCAGCCTTTACGGCCGTGGATGTGTACGTCACAGCGGTGCGTCCCTTCCCAGGTGCGGTAGACGCTCCTTGGGAGGTATTGCACATGTGTCCCTTTCCAATTCTTCCCGAGGATTTGCTGTGCGCTTTTGTGAAGCCACAAGAGAGGGATGACACATGCCCTGTCGCTGAGGAAAAGCACGCCGGGGTTCGTTGGCGTGTGCGACATCACCCCGCATATACGCTTTTGTCGTCTGGCGAGGAAGATGACGTGAGTGTTGCAAGCCGTCTTTACTTTTTTCACTGTGATCACGCCTTGTGTGATTGCCTTCTTCCGTTGATGCGGCTGGCAGAAGAGGCTTGGGAGGAAACAAGTTTGAGGGCAGCGGTGTGCGTGGCTGCCGAGCACCGCCGCAGTCCATCCACCTGGGTGGTCACTGGCTGCAGCAACGCGTTATTGAGTCTTCGACGTGGCACGTTGTGCACACGGGGGGCTGTCGTGTTGGTGGCGGAGGTGCTGCAAACCATGCGGAAGCCCGTCCCCTCGCTGTCCTCGCCGTTGCAAGTGAATGTTCTGCGGGCAAAAGCATCAGTGTTGAGTTCCGCCTTGGAGGCGCTGTGGCGCAGATCCGCGGGGAACGGGGCTGTACCCGAGTTTGCGGTCGCTCTCTCAAGCCCTGCGCTCACTCGTGGGTGGGCCCTCTGTTTGCTCTGCAACGAGTTTGGTTGGACGGAGCTGCTGTCTCAGGAGCGCCGGATCGCCTCAGTTACTATTTCTGCCCTGTCTCACGGAAACCCATGGTGGTTACCTCAGCGTTATGCTCAAGAGACACATGAAACACTTCTATTCTTGTCTTCCACCTTTGTGGTTGCCTCTCTTCGGCACAGACGCCGCTATCCATGGCAGCTTATTGAGCAACGCAGCAGCGATGCGCCACCAATAGAGATGCTGGGCGAGTCGAGCATCACGGTCTCTAGTGGGATGCATCTTTTCCTTGTGCAGAGACTTTTGCTGCAACAGCAGCAATGCAGAGTAGGGGGTGGAGATGCTACTTCTCTGCCTGTTGTGTTCCAAGCCTCGCTTTACTACGAGGAAGATCAAAAGCACGATGCGTGTCGAGATGTGAATCTTCGCTTAACATGTGCAAATAACAACATCACACATCGCCTGCGGATGGGTGGCATTCAATGTACAAGCTCCATGTGGAGTCTCGATGTTCCATTCACTGTGGTGTTCTTTGCTCTTGAGGGGGCATCGAGGTCTTGGCTGCCGCCGGCAGGAGCGCGAAACGAGAAGAAGCTTCGGTGCCGCGCCACACACGTGTTGCACTGCTGTTGGAGAGTCTCTGGCCTGGCGTGGGCAAGAGGATTGGATCAACACACATCCTTCTCCCTGTTGGGGATGGAGACAGAAGAGGACGGGAAGGATGCCCCGACGAAGAAAGAAAAACTGGACAAAGAAGATGAAGAAAGAGGAGAAAATGTCGAGCCATTTTCCATGAGAATTCCCGTGCTAACGCTAAACCCCAAACTCGTTCCGGCCGCACTCTCCATTTGCGTCCAACACTCCTGGTTTTGGTCCAGGTTCGCTTCGCCCCTGGAGGCACTGGCACTTCAGGTTATGCTGCAGCATATTATAAAACAGGCTCTGGGGGAGGGTGAGAACCACGTTGAGGAGTCAGATCTTGTTTTTACGCCGCTGATGAACCAACTACTGGAGGGCATCCTGGAGGATCGTTGCCGCTTATCCTGTAAGGCAGGAGAAACTTCGCCCGCAGAGCTTTTCTTAGGTGCTTTGCGGGCTGTGGACCCTGGCGCTGCGTCCGTTCAAGTTCGGATTTATCCCAGTTTGTGCACGCGATTTGTGCAGCTTGTATCAAAGCTTAACTCGAGTGCTCCTGTCGCCCTGGGCTCTGCAGTGAAGCGGGAGCGGAATGCCGATGAGGTGCCTTCACTGCCTGAGGGTCTGAACGGTGTGAGGGCGAGAATGCTGAAGCTTCTTCGGACCGTTGAGGCGTACGATGCATTGTTGCCGCGCACAAGGCCTAGGCGGCGACAGCGACATGAACTACAAGAAGGAGGGGAAGAACAACGACAGCCGCAGCGACCACGACTGTTATTGAGCCTGAGAAGACGGCCAGCTCTCCACCAGCCGCAGGAGAAGGGGCATGAAGAAGTGAAGCTGGGGAAGGCAACAGATATGATGTCGGCGCACAATCCCAGTGATGTCGCAAGTATGATTGGGCGCGTTATCACTAAGGGCGCTGAGGCCGGCGTGACGGATGGTACGCTCCTTGCCGCACGCTCAGCAGCGTTGTCGCTGGTTATGCCGCTGTGGTTACTGCTCCACGACCGGCCTGGTATTTCCGAGGCGCGGAAGACGGCGTTGTTGGAAGGAGCGGAAGACATTTACGAGTCCCTTCGAGGCGACAGCGCTGCGGCTGAATTGGACGCCGTCTTGTTTAGGGGGTACGAGTCCCTTCTGCCAAAGAGGGAGCCGGCTGTGCGGCGGAGGGATGGTGCGGGCAATTTCTAGTTTTTTTTTTCACGCGGCGAGGCGTTTGCGCTGTAGTTTTTGCGCTTCACCTCAGCGCAGTTATTATTATTATTATTATTATTATTTTCTCTCTCTCTCTCTCTGTGTGTGTGTCTCTGGGAGACCAGAGAGACATAGCAAAGTGTATACCTATTCATAGCAAAGGAGGGAGGGGGAGAGAAGGCGTCTCTGGGCGTGGGGAACGAGACGTGGCAAATGAGTCTGGTCACACAGGACTCCGAAATCGTTGCTGCTAAACGGCAGCAGCGCCAAGTGCCCGTTCTGGAGTACACCTCCGATGGTGAAGTTGTCGTTGTGGCTGCCAATGGTTCCAAGTACCGTCGCAGCGTTTGTGTTGTCATCATGAATGAGCAGGGCTACTTTTTGGGGTGCCGTCGCTACGATGACCGGCAGGTTTGGCAGTTTGTTCAGGGAGGTGCGAAGGTGCATGAGAGTGTTCAGCAAACAGCAGAGCGGGAGCTGTTTGAGGAGATTGGGCTCCCCGCGACCCACCTCCGCTTCGTAGGGGAAATTCTGTCCTTCACGAGCGGAGAGGAGGCCTGGGCTGCTTTTCGCTACAAGTCAAAATCGTGGCGGAAGAGCGGCATCGTGGGGCAGGAGCTTTACCCGCTCCTTTACCTGGCGGACACGGGGATAATTGATGTTTTGCATTTCAAGGCAGTTCCAGGGGTGCGGCAAGAGTTCTGCGGGGCCATGTGGATGAGGCTTGAGGAGTTCGTGCGGTACTGCTCGCCTTCAAAGGCAACCGTGGTGTCAAACATCTGCATGGCCGTTTCATGGTTTACGCGTTGCGCTTTTGCCAACGGGGCTGGGTTTTCTCCTTGCGACGGGGACGCCTCACAGCCGCTTGGCGCCATACGAGGAACAAACGTTAGAAGTGATGAGGCCACATCGGCTGGAGGAGGCACCGGTGGTGCTGGCAGTCACCGCCATCATCGAAGACGAGGGCCGCGGAATCGTCGACCTAGGTTGACTGAGCCAGGCGACCCCCCTCGCTGCGAGAGTCGCAGGAACGGTTGTGACGAAAAACAAAAAGACAGTAGAGGAGAGGGAATAATAAAAACAAACAAGCAAGGGAAACTAAAATAAATCGAGGCGTTTATGCATGCATTTCTTTCCGTCTAATATTATATGTTTGCCAGCTGGTGTATGCGATGTCCCTCGGTTTTTTTCGTTCCACCTGAAGTTTGCAGGTTTGTTATGTCTCATTTTTGGGTTCCTTCTCTCGTTCCTTTTTTTTTCTTTTACTGCTTGTGTGCTGGTGTTTTTCTTTTGTTTTTGTTTCTTCCCTCATTTCCTCGTCTAGCGTGGAATAGGTTGAGAGGAGGCCCCAGGCTGCGGCATCCTTTGTCCGTCGTTGGCTGTTGGCGGGATTGCCGGCATGTATAGAGTCTACACTTCACCGCAACGGCTTCTCTGCGGGTATAACTTGACGTTTTTGCGTCGCTCTAACCTGTCGCTGCTGATCCCCTTTCGGCTGTTCATGATGGTTGTGTATTTCACCGCCCTCGTATGCGCGGCGAACGGAAGTGATGCGATGATACGGGGCGGCTCATTAGCCCCCGGCTACAGCGAGGACGAATATAGATTTCTTCGCCGTGCAACAGACGGCTGCCTGGCTGGAAGCTTTCTTTGTCTCTTCTTTAACTCCTGGGGCGTGGTGACGGCCCGCACACTGCGTTCGGGCTTGATGAACCTTACGCACGGCTGCTGTCACGCTGCTGCAGCTGTGCTATTGATCGTCGCATGGCACCTGGGGGCGGGGGCTGAGCGCATCTGGCACGTCTTCTACATCTTCGGCATCATCCCGACAGGGTTGGAGGCCATCGCTTTGCTCGAGTCCTACAGCCGTGGCACGGACAACTTCTTCTAGGGGGTTAGCTGGGCGGGGGCCTCTCTCTTGCTGTGGCTCATCTCCTTGGCGCTCAGCAGAAACACACACACACACATACAGAAAGAGTTGCGTTTTTTATTTCTGTGTATGTGTACCTGTGTGTTTGTGGAATAGTTATTGTTGTTGCCTTTTTTTTACCTAAACCCTTCTGGAGAGGGAAGACAATATGGCCTCCTCTTCCCTTGCCCTCACTCCGTTGACAAGGAGCCACGTAGACAGTGTAGGTGCTTAACCGCAGGCAGGGCGCAGCGCATGCGCATTCTCCTGCCGCCGCCGCGGCGTCACAGCACGCGCAATCGTGATCCTCGCTGGCCTCTGCTGCTGCGGGGATTATCAAGGCCGTGCGAGACAGTGGCGCGGGAGGGAGAAGATGCTTCCCTCCTCCACACACACGCAGAGAGAGAGAGAGAGAGAGTTGCGCGTGATGATAAACCGATGCCTTCTGAGTGTTCCTTGACTCCTCACGGAGAGTGACATCCGCCGTAATCGAAAAGAACCCTTTAACT